TATATTAATTATAATTCTGTTGGTCTTATAGATTATTTTTATCACTAATTTACTAATCTATTTGTTCATGAAACAGATTTAATTCTGGACAGAGACTTCAAACTGACAAGTCATAAACAAAAAGCGAATACATTTAAAAGTCATGTTGTAGATCAAGAAAATCCAAATTAATCATGCGAAGCCGAAAAAAATGATGAAAAAGGACCATAAATCCCTAGTAAATTAAGAGGTCCAATCCGAGAAACATAACATGAAAATAAAAGCTGCGACTTTTGTTAGTTAGTTAGTTATTTGCAGAACCACACAACATATAAAAAGAAAAATTAACAATAAAAATAAATCACATGCTTGCAAAAATTCAAGGTAATTTATCGAGCCTGCAAAATGCATCGACATTAATAATCCAGCAAAGCAGACAAGCAGCAATTTAAAACTAAAATTTTTGGGATACGCCATAATAAAAACAGGGGATTCTAAAATCTAATGATAAGCAAACCACTAAGCTGAAGTCAGAGATAATTCGACAGAAACAATAATGTTTGACTGAAATTAACTTAAACACGCAAAAGAATATTATAATTGATGCTAAAGAAAAATATATAAACACATCGACATAAGACAATTATTATCAGTTGGATAGAAGAAACCAAAGGAAACTAAGAACAACAAGAAAAATAAAATTAAAACAATGGAAACAATTTCGGATGTATTGAAAATCTCAAATGCTATTGGCAAAATTAGCACTCAGAGCTCGAAAAGCTGCCATGAGAAAGTGGTTACCGGTTTTTGATATGATTTGAAATAACTTCAAAAACGAATATAAACGAAAATCCGAAAAATCACTCTTCTCTAAATATCTCAAAAATTAAAAGAAAAATTTGTTTTTTTGAAAACGCCATGTATATGACCACCTAATTGCGCGACTTCTTACGGAGTTTCGGAGATCCCCATGCAATACGTCCTTATCTTGAACACCCTGTATAACATACATTAAATGAGAATAGAGGGTTCGTCGAATATTTCGTAAAAGTTCTAATTACTGCGACAAATAAAGGTTGAAAATCAAATTATGTTGTTGAAATTGCGGTAATTTAGACATTGTTTGATGGCATTTTCATTAAACACACGTAAATCTATTGTAATTGTTTTGAAAACAAAAGGTTATCCGCAGATACGAACGGAAATAGATAGTAATTTGTATACCGTATGTGGTTGCAAAATAACGTGTAATTTAATCAAACTTGTTCTACTACTGCTAATTGATGTCCTATACGTCCTTGTGTTAATCAGTTTAATTTTTACACTTCAACTGATTACACAACTTCCATTTTCACTACAGCCTTAGAAAAATATTACAAAACGTTGTCGATTGTATTTCAACCAAGCGCCTACACCTAGTTAATTGAGTTAAAATTCTAAAGAATTTTTGAGCCTGACAAAATAACGTCTTACCGACGATTAGAACTAGTGAATAATAAAAATTATATTTGATTTTGCTATTATTTTGGCATCTTTTTTA